ATATATACATACATACATACATACATATATATATATATATATATATATATATATATATATATATATATATATATATATATATATATATATATATATATACATATACATACATATATATATATATATATATATATATATATATATATATATATATATATATATATATATATATATATATATATATATATATATATATATATATATATATATATATATATATATATATATATATATATATATATATAGGCACCTAACTATATTAGCTTTCATAGTTATTTTAGGTGTCCAGCGACTTTATTTTCTGTTTAATTCTAACCAAGCGTGAAATGACTATGTAATACGAAGTTCTAAATAAAATTGTTGTTGTTGTTAGGATTTCAGGAGCAGGATAAAGGAAAGGTGAATACGAGAAGAACCAAAGATGGGTGGGAGAAAAGGAAATTGTACGAAGTGATGCTATTGGACGAAATCCCAGGTACATTAGGGAGTGGTCATTATTTATGGGGAGGGGGTTGGGAAATGGGAGGGGGGGGGGAAACGAAGTTTTACCCTTATAAATAGGGGTGTCAAAAACGTTTTAACACAGAGAAAAGGGGTGGGTCATAAAAGTTTTTGAACTTAAATACCATGTCTAGAGTTCTGATTTCTATAATCACAAATAGCAAAAAAAAAGACTCTGAAAATGCTATTTCCAACGATCTAGAGACTCAAAATTTCCCTGCTCGGCGCCAACCATGGTAGCGCCTCGCGATCGTGGGAGTCGGGCCCACTAAGTTTAACAAGATTTCTACCCCCTGAGTGACCCAGTTGTGGTATTGTTCAGGACAGATTAGTGCAAAGTTACAAACAATAAACACTAACACTAAACAACTAACTATAAACACTAACACAACCCAAATTATATTTGATAACTGTAAGATAATTAATAGATCTGATTACTGGTCCCTACTATTATATAAAGAATCCCTTGCAATTCGCAGAATTGCAAGGGATTCTTTATATAATAGTATATATATATATATATATATATATATATATGTATATATATATATATATATATATATATATGTATATATATATGTATATATATGTATATATATGTATATGTATATGTATCAGTATTTGTAACTTTACACTAATCTGTCCTGACGATGACTAAAATATGGTCGAAACGTAGATTCATTAAAGCTACAAAATGTTATTTGGAGTTACTGTTCTTTTGTATTTTATAAAAATACTCAGTGGTTCCCGTAACTATATAGCAATAGTTTATACTATCAAATGTTTCTGTGATCACAGTAGGAATTTTGCATAGGTAAATTCTAAGTTTTGAAGGATTTGTAAGAAATTTTTGAGGGAACTGACTTCGTGTTTAACAATTTAGTATAATAATAAATTGAAATTCCCCGTTAGCTGGGCTCGCATGAACCGACCTTTTGGTTGTTTTTTTCTGATCCTAGAATCCCAACGACCTAACGAGCCAACCCACGCCGTCCTTGAAGGCGCACTTAAATGGGACGTTAACTTTGATGGTCAAAGTAACCACGTTAGGAACCACGCCTTGATACATTACATTGCCAATCTCGCGACCAAGAATCACGCCGACGACATATTTGATTATGATTTCGTGGAATCACTGCTCCGAAATGGCGCCGACATCAACTGTATGGACCCGACAGGTCAGACGATCTTTCACGAGGTGGCGAGATCTTGGAACACGGATGTAGCAAAGTTTCTACTGGAGAACGGTAATCATATGACCATTATTCATCAGCACCACCATCATCCTCACAAGCACCATCATCATCACTATCATCATTACCACTCCATTATCATGATCACCACCAACACCATTATCTTCACAATCACCATCATTACCACTACCACCATCGTGATCACTATCACCATCATACCATCATCATCATAGCCTGCGAACAGGCTCTCAAGCTGAATTGAGAGCCTGCATCGATGACTAATGAATTTGAATATCTGCGTCTCAAATCGTGACGCGAAATTCTCATTGGTCAGATGCTATAATTTATATTATTCCGCTGAGCTCTATATATGTCAACTGCTAGCACTATGGATAAAAACACATTAACTGATCAAATTGGTCTTGGCCATCTTATCTCAAAGCACCAAATGTTTTGTTTTGAGAAAACAGTATTTAAAACATTTAAACTTTTGCTTCAATATCTTATATTTCGAAAAACAGTATAAACTGTACGGTCTAAATTTAGTTTGCATGGTCTAAATTTAGTTTGCACGAAAGTTGTAAACAACACCATATAGGGATAGACATTCCATATTTGGAAAAACGAACGTTACGGGGCAGATATTCAAATTCATTAGTCATCGATGCAGGCTCTCAATTCAGCTTGAGAGCCTGTTCGCAGGCTATCATCATCACTATCATCTTCACTACTGTAATCACCATCATGATCACCACCATCATCTATCAACATCACTAACATCATCATCACTATTCTCATTCTAGTGGAGCTTGATATATGGAGTATATGGGGACGGTAAACAAAACTTCAAAGTATTTTGTATTAAACAGGTGCCAATATAAATCATCAAGATGAGTTTGGTCGTTCTCCTCTCCACGTTGCCGCAGCAGTCGACTACACAAGTATGGTGGAATTTATCGTCCAAAATGGCGGAGATATTGACATCAAGACGAAAGAAGAAGAACAAACTGCCATACATTACGCCGCGAAAAGTGACGCCGTCAACTCTATTCAGATGTTGCTAGGTTACGGAGCCAATATTGATTCTCGCGACTGCAGAAACCGGACACCGTTACAAGTATAAAATCTCTCCTATCTATATCCTTATTTTGACTGTTCATCTCAGGACTGGATAAAGTTTTGATCAAGTTCTAGGACTGGATATGGTTTTGATAAAGTCCACAGATTGGACAAATTTTTTATCATGTCTGAACTCCTAGGCTTGGATAAAGTTTTTATCAAGTCCTAGAACTGGATTTCAGTTTCGATCAAGTTGTAAAAACACCCCGGATAAAATTCCAAAACCAAATATTGTTGTCTCTAAGTTAGGCAGGAATTTTGACCAGAGAGCTTGAAGTTTTATGAAGTTTTATGAAGTCCCTGATCAAATTCTGTTGGTGTATAAAGTTTTGATCAACGCCTAGTCTAAGAGTGGATCTTTTTTTATGTATAACATTCATGAACTTTATGTCACCTTAGATCGCCGCAGAAGTGAACAGTTTCAAAGCTGCCAAACTTTTGGTGACTGAAGGAGCGCCTGCTGGCGTGTATGACAACCTGGGGAACTCTGCATTATCACTCCTCATTGAAAAGATTCCTGAAGTGGCGCTTATAGCACTGGACCAACTTCGCACAACAGACTACATCAACAGACGAGAGTTTTACTTTCTCAACTACCTCGAAGGCGCGAAACTGAAGGAAGAATTGCAGGAAACACCAGCACGCTCCCCCATGGAAATAGCCGTCCAGAATAAAAGGTAAACTGTAAAATATAAATTTTTCCTAGAAACTTCTGTCTACAAAACCCATCAAGATAAATAAATACTGCTTATCTCGTCCAGACCCATAGATACTTAGATGAAAATTTCGAGGTATAAATTTTTTACATTTATTTAGACATAAGATTTAGACATACTAAGGTGATTCCATTATCGGAAACGCACAGCTGTAGGTTCGATTTCAGCAGGGGGGCCTATCTTCCAGTCGTATTTTCATGTTATTTATCCAAACACAGAACGCGTTATTTTGATGTGCATGCAGTTAACAATAC